TTCTCAGGTCATTAATAATATGGATACAGATAGATACCTTAAATCTTGCAAACTCTTGGCAGGTGTTACCAGATACTAACCATCCATATCTTTCTCATTGTATACTGGTAGGACATGACGTCAATACATTAGAATCCATGCACGCAAGCAAATATATAAAGGCTCTGCACTACCTTATCTAGCAAATATACCCTGAATCAAGGTTTCATGCTATTTGGCACCCATCAGCAAGATATACCTGTAATTTTGAGGGAACTGATCCTCCCTGACGGATTCGAACTCATGTAACCCAGAGCCGAGAGCGGGGAGGGTTCGCCCTCCCTCTCGAAATACTCTCACACGGCCACGCGTATACAGCCTCTGCCAGGGAAGTCCTACTCACTGCCTTCTCGTGGCGGGGGTGTTGTTTACGAAAATGAGAGGACGAAAAGCGAACGTCCGGCGCTATAACCGGATCCCAATTCTATGGTGCACATGGGCTCCATTATCCTGAAGGAACAAATGGCGTATGAACCAACTTTTGGTCACCGGCTTCCATGGGACTGCATCTCCTCACGATGCTCCACTGCCTTGTGGACTAGACCTTTAGGTCAAAGGCTCGGGGTGTGGCCCCCTAAGAAAACCACCTGCTTCGGTTTGGGCACCCGGGCAGTATCTCAGCCCACACACCAAAACATGATGAAATATTCGCTTACGGAAAATATTCGTTCTTCTCTGACTAACATTGAAATGACTGATACTATTATTATTATTATTATTATTATTATTATTATTATTATTTACTACGTCATTTACTCACTATCTCCTATTTCTACTTTTTTTATCCGTTTCGACTCAGACAGCAGCTCGCCTATGGTAAAAATTCAGCTTTATCTAAACGTTCTCGAGTCACTGCCTGGTTTGAAAATTGTATGTTACCATCGAATACGAGTACTGAAGCAGTCTTTCTGAAACCACGCGCACCATTCAAACTGGCTGCCTTTAACGTTCGCACACTTATGCAGGTCGGACAACAGATAGGGCTGGCTATGTCTTTGGAAAGTCTTAATATTGATGTGTGTTGTCTATCCGAGACCCGTATTCAAGACTCTGGTGAAGTACTACAAGTTCGCTCTCCATCTGTCGCTCCAAAAAGCTTGTTTTACGTGCGTTTATCCGGGAACCCTGTGGCATCTTCGTCTGGTCTTGCTGGCGTTGGTGTCGCACTAAGCGCAAGAGCTGAGGCAGCACTAGTCGACTGGATCCCCATTAACAGTCGGTTATGTGCTGTTAGATTAGAAAGTACCATCAGAGTGAGAAGAAATCGGCGTGAGAAACGATGTCTTTTCGTCATCTCCGCCTATGCCCCGACAGATTGCAGCCCGGATGCAATCAAGGATGAGTTCTACCACCAGTTATCTGTTCTTCTCCAGAAAGTGCGTTCGACAGATATTGTAGTACTAGCTGGAGACTTGAATGCTCAGGTCGGGCGTCTAGGCACAGAAGAGAGTCGTTTAGGTGGCCGATGGGGACTCGTTGGTCGCAGGACAGATAACGGGGAACGTCTACTGCAACTATGCACAGACCACAACCTGTTTCTGGCTAGCACTAACTTTCGGCACAGTCATCGCCGATGTGCCACCTGGCGTCCCCCTTCTGCATCTCAAGCCTGGACTCAGATTGATCACATCGCGATCAGCTACCGCTGGCGCGGTTGTGTACAAGACTGCCGCTCCTTTTGGAGTACCTATCTGGAATCTGATCATGCTCTGGTCTGCGCCAATCTTACCTTACTTTTCAGTGGACAACGAAGTGACCGCCACCACAGGATTGATGTTAGCAAGCTGGCTGCAACTTCTGTTGCTAGTAAGTACCGAGCCGAGCTAGCTTCTAGGCTAGCTACCATTCCACCGAAAAGTATAGATGAGCATTGGTTGCAATTGCATGACGCCATGAAAATGGCGGGTCAAGTCAGCTGTGGGATTGCGAAACGTCCCGCTTACAAGCACTGGGTTTCTTCTGGTTCCTTACAACTGATTGAAGCCCGTCGGTCTACTCCGGGTGACCGTGAGTTTGACCACAGACGAAGGTTGTTACGTAATGAAATCGGGCAAAGCTTGCGTAAGGACCGAGAAACCTGGTGGTCGGAGCGTGCCAGTGAGTTGGAAGCAGCAGCTGCATCTGGTAATTACCTGAAGCTCTTCCAACTCATCCGAGCCACCGGCAGCAAGAAGTCTGGTGTGAGCGAAACAATCTGCGAGGATGACGGAACGCCAATCACTAACATCCATCGACGTCTTGGACGATGGGCAGAATTCTTTGAAGGGCAGTTCAACTGGCCTGCTGCTCCGGCAACATCGGTCAGACTGTCCTGCCCTCCTTGGCCGGTGACGACTGATCCACCAAATGAGGCGGAAGTCCGCAAGGAACTCCAACTCTTGAAACGTTACAAATCACCAGGCCCAGACGACTTACCCCCGGCTCTTTTTAAAGATGGTGGTGACTTTCTGACTAAGGGAATGACGACGTTGTTTACAAAGATCTGGGAACTAGAGAGTGTACCAACGTCATGGAATGAGTCGATAGTTGTCCCTATCTTTAAAAAGGGTTCACGTTGTTCCTGTAACAACTATCGGGGGATAAGTCTACTTCCGATTGCGTCCAAGCTATTGGCTTCCGTCATACTTCGTAGGTTGTTCAGAACCCGAGAAGGATTGACTCGCGAGGAGCAGGCTGGGTTTCGTTCTGGTCGAGGATGTATTGATCATATCTTCACCCTCCGCCAAGTGTTAGAACACCGCCATACTTATCAAAGGCCAACAATCGTAGTGTTTCTTGATATCAAGGCTGCTTTCGATTCGTTGGACAGAACTGTTCTCTGGGATTGTCTATTGAAGAGGGGTGTGCCTGAGAAGTTTATTAACATCCTAAAAGCCTTATATACAAACACCTCAGGTAGAGTGAGGGCATACAACCACCTTTCTCCACTATTCCATTCAAGCAGTGGAGTTAGGCAGGGTTGCCCAATCTCACCATTCCTCTTCAACTTTGCCATCGATGACATTCTGGAAACAGCTCTGACGGATGTAAGTAATGGTGGTGTGGATCTGTTGCCTGGAGAAAGACTTCTCGACTTTGAGTATGCGGATGATATTGTCTTACTGTGCGAGAATGCCCAAGCCATGTAATCCGCACTTAATCAGTTGGCGATCAGTGTCCGTAGGTATGGTATGTGCTTTGCACCTTCGAAGTGCAAAGTACTTCTACAAGACTGGCAGGATTCTAATCCTGTACTCACTCTGGATGGTGAGCAGATAGAAGTAGTCGAGAAGTTCGTGTATCTAGGTAGCTGCATAAGTGCTGGTGGTGGCGTGAGTGATGAGATCAATGCACGTATAGTGAAAGCCAGAGCGGCTTATGCCAATCTGGGCCATCTTTGGCGCCTTCGTGATGTTAGTCTGGCTGTAAAAGGTCGGATCTACAACGCGACGGTGAGAGCAGTTTTGCTCTATGCTTGTGAAACCTGGCCTCTCCGAGTTGAGGATGTTAGACGACTCTCTGTGTTCGATCATCGTTGCCTCCGAAGGATTGCTGGCATCCAGTGGCAACACCATGTCAGTAATGCAGAGGTTCGGCATCGAGTGTTCGGTCACAGAGACGATAATGAAATTGGTGTCACCATCTTGAAACACCGACGTCGGTGGCTTGGACATGTTCTACGAATGTCGTCCCAGAGAATTCCTCGTCGTGCATTATTTGCCGACTCTGGGACTGGTTGGAAAAAGCGGAGAGGTGGTCAGTATATGACATGGTGTCGTGGTATGAAAGAAAGCTGCAAAGGGCTAGCTTATGTTGGTCCTTCAAGACTCCCTGGTTGGGGTCCGAGAGATGGTGTAACGCAGTGGCTAGAGACGTTATCAGATATGGCTCAGAATAGAAGCCAGTGGCGATCCTGCTGTAACCTTCTTTTACTTTCTTCATAAAAAGGTGGTCGTATTCTTCCTTAACTGAAAGATCTGTTCTGATTGTACCTTTCCGTTTCCCCCACCATTGTTCTCTCTCTCTCTCTTCTTTTTTTTATAATTCCCCACGTTCATTACTTTTTTTTTTCTTCTCTTTTCTCCTTCTCTTCTAATTATCACTGTTTTGTGTGGCGCATATATATTTGGTGCCCCCCTGTACCAATATTTATGTGTTCAAATAAATAATAAATAATAAATAACCCAGAGTCAACATCTTTTAGTAATCTGACGCTTAAATATAAAATAGAACAGCTTTGTCAGTCGCAACATGACACGAAAACAACCTAGATATAACGGTATATAGCCCCGAGAAGTTGGAGAAATAGCTAACAGTTATTTTGTGCTTTTTAGCAGTTGTCACCAGATATCCAATAAGATTATAAATAAAAGTGAATACAAACAAAATTGATTAATTGCATATTAAATTTGTGATTAAGAATACTAATTTACTTGTATTTAAAAATATAGAATGCATGAAACTAAATGGAAGACAGTAAATAAAATATAGAAAGATGTTAAGCAATGAGAATCGTATCCTCCGAACTTTCAACTTACGATACAAACACATTAGAAGCAAAATCAAATGGAAGTGTAACTTGTGACTACCTTGAAATAGCTGTTTTTCGATTATGAACATAAAGGAAACAACAATTATAAGAATTGAGATGATTCTTATTATCTTGGACTCATAATGTGGTGATGTGTTCATCATGAGTATACATTAGTAACGATGACCAAACAAAGCCAGATATACATGTTGGGATTGTGTTAACAGATATATTACAACAATGAAACCGACTAACGCAAACAGACCAAAAAGAAATTTATAACAGGATACACATAAAAAAATGTGCACACGTAAACCAACTTATTAATACTAGGCTAATTCTGTAGCTTACAGAAGCAAGATACATGGGAAAAATAAGTAAGTAAATCAAAGGCAAATTAAAGTAGAAATCAGTACAATGTTCAAACGTACGTATATATTCACATGAAAATTTAATTTTTATTACGCCGTAGTTGTCGAGAAACACGATCTAAATTAAATTTGACATGTTCCCTGGTACGTACACGTGCATCGCTAGTCTCTAAATCTAAACCCAGACGAACCAAACGTGGATTGGCTAGTATTAATTCGGTCAAATTTTGTTCGATTTTTACACCGAGCACAGATTGACGTTGATTGGCTAAATGCAGATCGGTTATTCCACTTTTATCATGGCTAATTGACTCCAATAAACGAACGAGGATAACACCTGAAATATAAAAAAGCATGATAGATAAGTAGTTTGATGAATTGAAAGTAAAACAGTACCTGTTTTTAAAAGAAAACTACCTAAGTATATTACCATCGTTCGTTTTGTTCACTGAGTATAATCCATTCATAATGAACTACCCACTGACTCTATATGAACATTAGGTAGTCAATAGCTCCGATCATTAAAAGCCAAACAAAATCCCCGAGTCCAGTTCTTTCTATCTTGGTCGCGGGAATATGTGGAATAAAACAAACTTTAAAACACATATCTACTATCTGCTCTTGCTTTTGTCATCAGTAAAACGCACACACACAAAAAAAATATGACAACAATAGGCGAAAAGTCACCTTACTGAGAAACATGTTGTTTATTGGCTTAAGACAACCAGACTGTTAGAAAATTTTTGTTGGGGTTAGGCATAAGATTCTAGGTAAAGATGACAAATTGGTCGATAAAATTGTGAACCTTCATAGGATGAGGTGGTGAGGACATATGTCAAGTATGTCCAACCACCACCTATCTTCACGACATGTTCTTACTGGTATAGACACAGGTCTGGTCTGATAAAAAAATAGCACCTGTGCATCGCGTCACCAAGTGTAGGACTTTGCTACGTTAGTAGGTACGGACTAACTGCCTGGGTTTCGCACGACAACTGCGATCAAGATTTGGAGACATAGCTTATGATGTTTTACAATGGCGCACATGCATTCCGGACGAGCACAAACTTTTCCTGCTTCGGTTTGGGCACCCGGGCAGTATCCCGACCCTCATACAAATCGAATGATTAATGTGGTGCATGGCTGTTTAGTGCCTCCTTGTATCAATGTTTATGTGTTTAAATAAATAAACAAACATGCATTCACTCTTTATCTTACTCTAGATCGTAAGTTAAAGAACTCTATTATTTATACCTTATTATTCTGCATTTTCGAACCATATTCTCAACATCCAGTCTTTCGCATTGCTATTGTGGCAAGGTAATTAGAGTCAATGCACATTTGTGGCAAGATCTACATTATGACTGACTGAAAATACTGGCAAATAGAGTGAAGTTGAGCCATAAAACTAATTGGTTTATGCTCACTATATAACTGGATTTTGAAGTCTACAATCCTGTTCCAAAGGAAGTAACATTTGTGACACCAAGCGTAAACTTATGGTTGAGAGAAAACTATCACTCAGAGAAAAATACCAAAAGGCTTATCGTTCCTAATGGGATAATGTACAATGTACACATAAACACATAATCTGGAATCCAAAATTAAGTGGAAGTCACATGTTTTTGATATCGATTGACACTTGTATAAACAAGAACCGTATGATAGAACAACAAGCATGTGCTTGTATGTGTACGTTTATATCTATTACATATGTATACGTACAGGGAGTTCACATGCAAATGTTTACAAATATATAAGAAAGTAGACTTTATAGTATCAAAATAAAGTTCAATTAATGTTGACATAATACCTCACTTTTAAAGAAAATAAATTTTTAATAACACACTGTAAAAAGTAACGAATGAATGGGAAAAGCTGGATCGTCAAACGACGACTAGCACATCAACGGAAGCTTCGTAACTAAACTATTCAGCTCATTGAACATAATACCAAAAATATGTATGTATACCAACCTAATCGAATGTAAGATGCTTCGAATCTGCTACTTCATTGTGGCATTTTGGCACATATTACACTCCTATAGTTCTTGCCACGTTATGGCAATATGTTTACATCTACTAATGACTGAATTTATTCTTATGAATGGAGGCATGTCAAATTCCGCTTGTAATTTTAATATTTGTTCACAGTAAATATAATGTTTCCGACTAACCAGTCAAAAAATTCGACTCCAAATTTAGTACTTTTAATACAGTATTTTTTTGCAGCATATCAAAGAATGGTTCAACCATCGCGTTTGTTAAACGTGTTGCCGCCATATGCAGTTCAGTTAACTGGGTATTCGCTGTAAGAGCGGCACATAAGCGTTGTACTGCTTCAGCACTTATCGTTTTGATATTGTTTAAATTTAATTTAGTTAGTTCTTCACTGTTATTTTCCAATTTTTTGATACTAGCCTGAAACGAATAAAAGATAGAAAGAAAAACACAAGCAGTTTTACGTGAGCAAGTAATAAATGATGAATCCAAGTGTCAAGATATGTGAAATTTTAAAGGAATAGAGCAGTCTTCCCTTTTTGAAATAATAGTTTATTTTCAGGTGAGAGTAGAATCGAACCATTGAAATAAACAATTATACACCGTAGGTTACAAGATCGGGCCTATTTGATTGAAAAAGAGCATTAAAAAATGTTTCCGTACCTACTAGTTTAAATTCTAAAGTATTGAAAATGTAGATACATGAATAAGTTTTAAAAGTAAATGAAGTCCTGGTTACTGACCATTTAATAGAGGATCTAATGTCGACTAATCATGATCTTTTTGGGACATCCGTATTAGCTATAATCCACATAGAACCTCACACACGTGAAGCGCCTTCAATAGCCACGCCACTTTATGATAAGACTACCAAGATGGACAGCAAAGTAGTAGAAACAGTATTGACAGCATGGAGAACATGATTTTGATACGCTGGGTCAGCTAGACAGGTCTATAGTTAAACAAACTCAATTAGCCAACATTTTACTTACTTTCTTAAGGAAAAGGGCATAAGCTATTGGTTGAGAATGTGGCTTTATTTTCTAAGCGAGGAAGACGCATATTTATGAGTGTGTGCATATATTCTCGATTCAGTTTTAGTTAAGAAGGCTTCTTTCTCACTCTCGGTTTTCTCACTCAAATAGCTGGTTTGGGCTCGCTCATAGGAAGCTTTTATGCCGGTAACATAATCGAAGGATCAAATAACAGAACATATATGAGAAGGAAGAACGAATTCTCTGAATAAGTACAGAACGATTTTAAAATTCGGGACCCAGGAGTAGACAAAGAATGACTGTATTTGGGCCATTAGGGTAGATTCTAAGCTATTAATCAACGTCTCTAACCATTGATCATGGTGATCGTACAAACCCGAAGCACCCAGTCTGGGCCTACCAAAAGGGCTTGGTTCAACAGTCAGCGGCTTTATGGCGATATCATGGTATCCTCTGTTGAATATATTTATTTAATTAGTATGGATACTGTGCATAACACTGGAATTGATATGGCAGTGTCAGACAGTTTTAAAGACCAGTCGGTTAGGTAATAACTGAAAAACGTTCCATTCACTTCCTTTGTTAATCAACAAATTTATTGTAAAAACAGGCTTGGATGCATAACTGGACGCTAACCCACCGCCTTTGATATTACTAGACATCCTGAGCACACACTTATGAGTAGCAACTTAAAGGTAGAAAATGTCAATCATTTGTGACTGAACCAACATGATACAGCGCTGAAGGGTTCACTACGAAAGGCTAAGTTAAAAGGCGCGATCAGAATAGCGAACGATGGTAAGTAGTCTTTAGTGAGAGAAAAACTGTTTAGTCCTCCCCAAGTTTCAAATGATGCTAACCGACAAATAAAAAGGATTAACCAAGTACAGGAAAGAACGAGACAAACCTCTACATCTGTCATATTAGGTGGTTCATCTGGCACGGCTTTAGGACGTTCAGCTTTAGCCACACCAGAGAATCCACCCATTTCCAATTTACGTCCTTCTAAACTAGCGTGGAACTGTACTTGATTCAACATCCCAGTAAAACCCAGGACAGCAGCCAGATCGACAAGTTCATCTTCAGTAGCATTTTCAAGAGCCTTAACAAAAATATACCAAATTTATAGAGTAAATCCACAAAGGTTATGTTACTTGACACAATACGGCTAAAATTTTCTTCATCAATACAATAACAAATGGCGGTAAAAACAAGTGATCGTCAGGGGAAACTGTACAAACCCCACCGGTTACTCACTGTTTCATTTTATGTAGACAAGAAAGGAATTATGATCGACAGTTGCAGAATGAATGGTGTATAGATAAAAATAAAGATTATAAATATAAAACAAAGTGGTTATTCACCAGATAATTTGAAGCATTATTAGCTAAAAGTGACCAATCGTGAAATTTTAAATTAACTGTTAGATAACTTTTGTTTCCTGCCAGAAAACTAGCTTCTTAAACGGCAAAAAAAACCCTGAAATTTTAAGGGAGTACGAAGAATGGCTGCACGTTTACGAAACACAATGTCAGATTATATAGGGTGACCAGCAGAACTCGTTAACCGGTACTCATCACCGATAATAACTAACTGTAATCTAATCTAAAAGTTTTACCCGGAAAAGTGCTAATACTTTGAGCATGTAAGATTATCAGCTCAAGAAATCATCACCACAGTTTTCCATCTTAATTTCTGAACAAATATAATTCCAAAAATTACAGAATAACGTCTCAAAAAACAAACCGGAAACAGAAGGATAGAGTAGACAGTCAGTCATAACAACACAGAACTTCGTAGGTACGTACAACAGTTCGAGTTTCCATACCACGTTAGCACAGAGATGCAGTTATCGATTAAATTCCCGTAGTGGTAGAGGTAGTGAAAGTATAAGTAGTAATAGGGAACATTAGGGTTTGATGATGTCATTTAAGGAGTATAATCCAGTGGAATAAATTTGGAAAGAAAATAAAGGACATGAAGAATTCAGAAGATTATAATTTGGGAGAACACAAAGAGTGGATGCACCTCCACCATTGCAAACGATTTTGAGCCATGTCATTCAAGGTCTCTAACCATCAGTTGCTATCATCTCGCGGTCCCCAACCAGGTAGTCTACACTAACCAACATAGCTCAATCCACTTGTCAGTGACTTCACGGACTTGTGCCATATTTTGGTCTGGCCGCTCTTAGCTCTCTTCCAACCTACTCCTACACCATTATACATCGCACATCGGGGCAGTCGGTGGTTGGGCATACGTAACACGTGTCCCAGCCATCTCAACTGATCAAGTTTTACTACTTCCGCAATTGACTTGCCATCTTTACCTAGTACCCGTTTCCTGACAACTGTATTACTTACTCGGTGGTCCCAGGATATACGAGCAATGTTTCAAAGACATCTATGGTCGAATACTAGTAACCTACGAATATCCTCAACTCTTACCGGCCATGTTTTACTGCCATATGGTCGGATGGAACGAACTGCTGCGCAGTAAACACGTCCTTTGGTTTATAGACGGATATCTCGCCTACACCACGAATGACGCAAGCTGGCAAAAGCTAGTCGAGCCTTCTGTATCCGTGCTGAAATTTCGTCATACACCAGACCACAAGGGTTGATGAGACTCCCAAGATAAGTGAAGCGGTCGACACGCTCAACTACTTCACTCCCTATCAATATTTCGGGTGTCGATGCAACCCAATCCTGAAGTAACATTTTGCATTTCAACGGGGGGAATCGCATCCTGAAACTTATCAATACTATAGGCATTACTATTGAGTCTTAGTGTAGGTTTTCGCAACATAACAGATAAAGTCGGATATATATATCATTTTTTACGTTTAAAATCAACGGAAATAGATGTGGAAAACCTAACACCATTTTTGAAATGGAGATTCGCTGCGTTGCATTAATGCTTCACACAACCTTGAATGTGTTACATGAAATTATATGCCTGTTACTAGTAGGAAAGCACTCTGATGCAGATACGAGTTTTACCAGTCAGTTATTTAAAGAAGTACTGAGTTAAGAGCAAATCCACTCAAGCGGTAGCCAATCCCACTTAAGCTTAATACCTCCCCAATCGACTGAACAAACCTTGAGCACGTAATATTTTTTACTAAAAAAGTATGTGGTCTATTTATTGAATTTGTCCTTTTTACTGAAATTATTTTAAACATGGTGCTTTAAAATAAAAACACGAAGTAACCAGCGTACATACCTTATTTACATCATCATCAAACTCTACATCGAACCCCATTTCAACTAATTCGTTTTGCGTGCTCGGTGACATAGTTTGTTTTGGTATATAGACTTTTCCTCTTTTCTTTTTTTCATAAGGCACAGCTTCTTCCCAATCCTTTTCGGCTTTGGCCTTTTCAATAAGATATCTGTGTTCCCAAAGATAGCGAAAATTTTTGGAAACTGTCAAAATTTTAGAAAACAACACTTATGCTTAAACAAAACAAAAAGTTTGATCATATCTACTGTATTCGTTTTTCTACATGAATATGAATGACTTTGAAAATTGGTCGCGAAAGGTAACTCCCATAGCTCATCTTATCTTGGAAGACATTTAAATGTGGGGAAACATTGTACTCGCTTTATTTCTCTATTACTTTACACATGCTTCGAATGGGAACGCAAAACCGGAACCACTAAATTGTTGATTCAATGACAACACTTGAAATAAGTAACAGTTGAAGGATTAAACAATTGGTCCAGTATTAAAGGCAAAGATGGATAGTGATTAGCAATATAATCCAAGACGCGCGTTCCGTCCTCTTTGGGATTGGTCAGCTGGATGTTCAGTCCAAGACTTGAACCCAATACAGTTCGCTTTATACGCCATCGCGTTATTTACTTAGCTACTGGATTCAGATAGCCACTAGCTTGTGCAATGGGGTGAATTTTAATTCCTTTTTGTATCCGTTGCTTGAATCTTCCCATTGACTTTTAGGACGGCAGTTGATCAGCCTTCTATCGGCATATGTACTGGGTTCAAGTCCCGGAAACAACATAAAATCTGGGATGCAGGTACATCCAAACGGCGAGTCTCGAATAGGACGAAGCGCGTGTCTTTCACTGCTAGCCACCATCCAACCAAACAGCTGTAACCCTATTCTTTTTCAGTGGAGCGAAATACAAAATATGTGAGAATTGAAAACAAAATGACTAGTAAAAGCTATACATTATGTGGTCTATCGACACTAAACGACATTCATTTTATTTATTTGAACACATAAACATTAGTACAAGGGGGTACTAAATACATTTTCACCACACAACAACCATGAGGCGAGTAGTAGTTATTATTGATTTGTGTGAGGGCTGTGATACTGCCCGGGTGCCCGAAGCGAAGAAGGTTGTCCTCTTAGGGGACCACACTCCGAGCCTTTGACCTACAGGTTTAACATCTGGGGGCTAAAAACAATATCCAGGAATTAATGCCTCTCCAACGAATTTGGGACTGTAAACATCGGCTTGAGTCGGTAGTCACTATCACATAAATGTCGATTTTGGAACAGTACTTGGCTAGTTTTTTATTAAAGCTGAAACGCTATCCAGCAGCACTCGAACGAACACTCAGAAAAAACCCCATGTAAAATAAACATTCGACTCCGAAAACCAAGTGCGTATATATTAGTATGAAAGCCTATATTTTAACTGGGATCAACCATTGTTAAAGAAACATGAATAGTTACCTTAGTAATTTTTCACGATCATAAGGTCCAGTTGGGGTTTTGGTAGTTTGGTCACGACACCTCTGTGAAGGAGGAAGCAGTGAATTATCGGGATCAAAGTCATCATTAAGCTGCTCCAGTTCCTCTGGTGTAAGCTTAGACAACAATTCATCAATATCTTCATCGTCGTACGAGGTAAGAGCTTTACCAAATAATAACTTATTCGACATCGTCTAGATAGAGAACAGAAATAAACTGCACTTGAAAAATGTATAAAAGGTCAGTATAGTTGAATACCGAACCGAAAAGCATTGGTCATAGCAAACCTTATCAAAATGCGCTTTATGCTCTGATTTCAATATATAACTAGTATTTTGAGGTCATCTTATGTTTTGTTAGAATGTGGTATTTGGTTCTAATTCTGTCTGTGTGAAGCGCTTCATAAAACACTGACCCTAATTCGTTTCAGTTATTGAAGTGCGTTGAGATTATTATCAGGACCAGCTTTAACCTTGAAAAACAAAGCAGCCAAGTTTTCCAGAGACAGCAATTGTGGATATCACATATGACTCTCCTAAGCAGAAACTACTGACATACCTACGTTAAAGCACATACTAACCACACTAGTGTGTCATACTACTTCAAACTTCGTGTTACTATGATTTCCATACATCATAGTGCTTACCACTACACACCGGCTATCGACAACCAAGGCGTAAACAATCACCCTTTCTCACAATGAGCAGTTATCAATCATAGGTTTGTAGATAACTTGGAAAAGACATGCATATGCAAAAGCTAAAAACTCAAAAAGACGGGCGGTAAGCAAACAGTGAGTTGTGGACTGTCAAGTTTAGAAAGTTCAACAGACAGAATCGTTGTATTTAATAAAACGTACATATCCCAACAGTTTTCGAAAAAGCAATACTCCTGGTATCACTTAAACCGAATTTAATTCAATTAAGATCACAGTAGTATTGGTGAGCAATAAATGATGAGAACTAAAATTTAACTCTAAAGCTATCCTTTTAAAAAGCGCGGCTTATGAACGAAACTGAACTCACCGATTAGCTCGAATTTTGAATGAACAATATGTTAGAATTTTTTTGTCGTGTTATGTTTCCTGAACCACTTTTTTGTATAATCTTCCGGTTTTTTCCATCAGATTGTTTTAATCTTATATATATTGCAATTGCTGTCAACTGCTTTTTTTGATAAATATATGTGCATTCTATTTGAATGTTTATTCACAGATCTACGTATTTTCCTTCTTCTGAAATCTCATACCCCATTCGTTAAAAACACTTCAGGATCTCGATCTAAATGCAAAGCACCTGTGGCTGCAGATTCAGAGAAAATGACAAATAAATTCAAATAAGAAGCAAGAAACAACTTAAAATCATAAATGTGAAGCCGATTCTAATAACCATTGTTGAAGATTCGTACAGTGATTATGTTGACATGTCAGTTATCTTTCATAGGGTCTACAGAAGTGAGTGTCCTTAACACAACATACGCTTTTAAAATGACAATAGGTCGATAAGTGATTGACTTGACAAAATATTGCCTCAACATTTGTCTCGGGCAACCTAGCTGAAGATGTATAGACAATGTAGTTAGACGAGCTTGAAAAAAATCAAACCACACCGCTAAGGATGGTGTATTAATTCCATGATGGGAGGGACGTATTGTCACAGAATTCATACGAACTCAAGGGATCAGGCGTCTTTGTCTAGGAAATCTGTCACTCACTGTATGAACAGGCGAGATATTGAAAATGAACTGAAACCATGATTGTAAAGAAACTTTGTATCATAAGTCTTTGGAAGATGATTCTTCGAGAGAGAATGATATTGAAGCCGCTTGAGTGGTTTTTTGACCTGTCACATGTATGACTGGAACTTGTTGAACAAGCGTTTGGAGCTATGTATACCGATGAAATCAACCAAGCCCGGTACTATGGTCATAACAAAAATTCGGTTGACCCAGTGTGTAGATAATAGGAAACTTGATTTCTAGAGCTTCAAACAATAAGAGCCGAATGAACTCAGGACCACGTCCATAGCATATCTCATGAAATTGGGATGTACGAAGTGGTTATCTGCCGCTAGGAATATAAAAGAAGAAAGGTACTGATTGGTTTGGTTCACGATAATCCAAACTGAAGTAAATCAGGTCTCACTAGATGGACTCAACGCCTGATCTTTGAGTGGCCGATGCTCAAGTTTAGACGGTTTTGCTAGAACTTCATTAGACTAAAGGAGTATTAGAACTGAGCTAAGAGAAAATTATCTTGAACAAAAACTAGTAGACGTGATGATAACATGTGCCGTAGGGCAACACGTGAATGCAATAACTAGGTACGTCCCGGACACCAAATCATTGTTGTTAGGTCTCGTATGAACCCATTATGAGTATGACATTACAAACTTCAATTTTATGCCAAACTTAGGTAAGATTAATAATAAGGTTTCAATGTTTTTATTTCCATACGGCTGTCAACAACGATGTTCCACATCTAGCTAATCCAAACCCTTTGGAAAGTAAACGTACAAAAATAAACACACTCAGCATTCTCAATATACGAAAAAATAAAATCAGATCCTTGTGCAGAAACGGCTTGAGAGTTCTTCAAAAGTCTTTAGACGATAGCTAAGGCACCTCACGTCCCCTTGACTACACCAAAAAACCTAAGAAACTTCCTACCATGGCTAAGCAAGGGTGTCCACACCTTTATACTTAAGAGAAAATCAATGTAGGTAACTCGGTGCTGACGAGACAAAATCTGGAATATTTATGTCTCAGCTCTAAGCGCGTCTAGAAGACAATATGAAGAATGATTTGTTAGGGAGTCTCCAAATAACCAAAATGCGTATATCCGTACTCAAATAAAGGAATAAAAAGAAAATTCACAATTCCATCCAACAAATACAATAAGGCTTGGGTATTCTCTGAGTACCTTGGTAATGTATATGTGGTAAACATTGTGACCACTGAAGAACACGATGTCCTTCGGTTGTTAAATATACATGATTCAAGTGAATTCATAGAACTCAACGAAGTGCCTCGTAGGTTACTAGAGAAACTGTCAAAGATAGTCATGAATTTGTTAACAACCAGTATTATTCGTCTGTAATTCCAGGTAAATTACCAAAGTACCGAAGGAACGCCATCGCAAGTCTCTTTTGTAAAACAGGTGTGAAATACAAATTACGGAACTATCATCCAGTAAGTTTAACACAAGTGGTCACCAAGATTCTAGAAACATTGTTCAGAAAGAGTTATTTACTTATCCATGAAAGCCCGATTCTTTATGGAGAGTAGCATGGTTTAAAAACAGATTATTTATGTCCCAGGAACGTAATATTAACTTCAGAAAGTTTGTGTGGTATGGAATTCCTAAGCCTACTGATAGATGCATTCTTTGTTGACTTCTGCAAAAAGTTTAGCAAAGTCTCACATAACAGTCTGTTAACTGAGTTAAGCAATGTTGAGATTAGAAGTAGCTTAGTTATCAGGGTAGACGGCTTTATAGTTGAGTGCAGAAAAATACAAGTTACCTACATGTTTTCTGGGTGAAAAACTGTGCTTAGTAGGATGCCCCAAGATACTGTTTGGTAATCACTGCTGTTCCTCTTTTATGCAGATTACCCTCTTAGTCTCTTGTCCCCATCAGTTCTATTAAACACTGATGATATCAGAATACGGAGGTTGACAAAAATCTTAAGCGATACACATTGGTCACCAAAGTACTGATACATACACAATAGAATTTGTCGAGATGCTTGTTTTTCTGACATACAGTGATCAAGAACTTATTGTTAATCAAGATATGAAGACCACCGTACGCTACCGTGCGATAGCTGTCAGGAGTTATAGAATTCCCTGGTCGATCCTTAGGGTCTTTAGACAAGTATATGTCAAGAACATTTTGGCATTGTATACAGTGATCATTCATCCTATTCTTGAGCATTGCATGCAAACAGTTAGTCTCTGTCCAAAAAGGTATAGTGAGGTGTTGAGAAGAACCTAGTGAACAGCCACCAGATTGATTATCGGAGTTGTGAATCTGCCCTATGAGAGACTTGCCAAACTAAATGTAATAATCTTGTCACTTAGAAACACCAGATGTGACTCGATCACAGTTTTCAAGTAACTGAACAGTAGGTTTACGTCTATTATACTCTACCGCTTCTTACCTTTAAGAATAGAAAGTATATGAAGGCACTAAAAATGTTCACAAGGCTAGAAGAAATATTTTTCGGCTTGTTATGGCAACATCAACGAGCGAAACTCTCTAACTTCGCACGTCGTTGAAGCTCCAGCTATCGATAGGTTTAACAGAATACTGAACTAACTAATACACTTACGTCACCGGAAATATCACGGTCTACTTTGTCCACTGATTTTCCACACACTGAAACAAATCTAGTTCATCAGCAAGATATCTGTTCAGTTCGCTAGATACTCGGCTTCCATATTCCTCGTGAAATCGATGGTGTTAGGCTTGAACGAAGAATAAATGGGTGGCTATTATATAAATGTACTTATCGTATAATTATTGGGTAATTGAGTCATATATATTTGTAATCCTTTATTCATAAGTCTTGACTTGACCTATTAACTACTGTTATACGATTTGCTGTTCATAATATATTTTCAATTTATAAGTTAGAGACTCTCACACACGTAGCCACTTTTGACTTGATCTTATATTATTATTTTTTTCTTTATATAATGTGATGTGGTTTTATCTGTTTCTATATAAGCCACGAATGTCTGAAACATATTATTCATACAGTGGAGGCTCATATTGTCTACTGGATTCAACGATCAGGGTTAGGCGAGGAGTTATTATATTAAGGATTGATAAAGATTCAGAGTTGACTTAAGGCTGCTAGTACTGTTCGACTCATACCTGGTTTAGCGAAAAAACCAAAGTCATAACAGTCGATATTCTGATTATTGTTTTATCACATGATACTTGTTGGGCCGGATGTGTGACATATAATTGAGCTTCAAAAATTGTATTTTTCTGCGGCGATAGGTTTCTTGGATTAAAAATCATCACAATATTGCTTGAGAGTTTTTTTAGCAATTGGAAATTTTATCATATTTAGATATAAGGTTTGTATTGAATATAGTGGTCAGAATGAACAGATGACTTGTTTTTGTAAACGATGTGCACAAACAATGAATGGTACAAGGATAACGAGTAAAAAAGTTAATT